CTTTTTCGCATGACTGTATTTTAATTTATAATTATTTAATAATATTAAAAACATCCTTTATTATTGTTGTACTAATGTTTTCGAATATGATTTATTGGAAAGTATTCGATTTTAAACATTAAAATAAACGTAACTAAATAATTAGTTTTATTATTTCAACATATCTCATAAAAAGTGATTTTTATTTTTGTACTCTAGCATTATAATTTGGTTTCTATTATAATGTTGTAAATTATTATTAATTATTTCAAAAAATCGTTTCAACTTTTTTACCACAGTCAAGGGAAAAATTTGGATGCTGTTTTAAATATAAATTTATTTATTTTCTGTTTTATATGAAAAAAATAAAAAAGTTGATGTTTTATTTTTTTGCCGAGTGTAAAAAATAAAAAACAGAAAAAACCTGTTTGAGCTTTTTTAAGGATTTTTATCCAAGTGATTTTAGTATAATTAATATTCAAATGATAACGAAAATCACTAACATATTCGAATTATTGTTATTTTGTATTATTTCCAAGGGTTTCATTAATTATAGCTATTTGCTAAGACAAAATACTGAAAAAGTAAGTGTGAAAAAAATAGCAATTTAAACAAAAACTATATTTAATTAATATTTTTTTAAAAAAATATTTTATTATTTAAAAAACCATTGAAATAGTAAATTATTTTTTAAGTGAGTTACTTTAATAAAAGTGAGCAAAACGCAAAGAAATGAGTCATTTTTCGACAAATGAGTTATAAAATAAAAAAGTGAGTTTACAGCCACTACTTACACCATCAAACTAAATAAATCGACCGATATTAGTTTATTCATTTCAAAAAAGTGTAGTTGTATACAAATTTTTGACTTGTTTGGCGTTTTCTGATTTTTTTAATTGAAAATATATATTTGCAATTTAAGTCAATCTAATACCACTTTATATCATCACAATACAATATAAGAACTTAATAGATTCCGAGATATAACACGTTTTTTATAATTTCAAAAGATAAATAAGAAATAATTATATCATTTATAATATTTTTTGATGTTTAGTAGTTAAAAATGATTGGTCAAATTTTGGTGTATCCAAAGTTATTATGTGGTATATATGTGATTAAAAACAAGTTGGTTTACTGTAACACAACATTTACATTATCAATATAGATTATACTTTTAAACAAATCAAAATATATAAAGATTTAAAACTTAGAAATATTACAATAATAATAATAATTCTATTGAAACAAATCACATAATAAAAATAATTAAATAAACTATAACTATATTAAAAGTTGTTTTTATTTTAAAATATAATTTATAGTTATAGATTGGTTGACCATCAGATTTAAAATGTTATATTAATAACAACCCCTGTTAAAACCCCATTTACATTATTTAATCAATTAAACATATTTTTTTTGTTTTCTTTTTATTATATTTATATTAAGTGACATGAAACTTAATTGTAATAAAAATTTATTATTTTTTAAAAATTTGATAATAAATTAACACTAAGAAATTGTGGATTTTCTTTGTGGAAACAAAAAAGTAATCCTTAAGAGAAGGAAAAAACTCGAATGGTCATAACAATGTTAATATTATTGATTGCATTTCTTTCCCTTGTGAATGCAGAGTGTGCGGACAACCAATTAACTCTTGCAGACACTGGAGCGTGTGTTACAGAGTGCCCTCTTAATAAGTATTATCAAAAAGAGAATATGTGTGAAAGATGTTCGACACCAAATTGCAGTTATTGAAATGAAGACATTTGTTACAGTTGTGATACACCATATTATATTGAAACAGATACTCATCTCTGTGTGGAAGATTGTAACAATAATTCTATTAAAGTTGATTATGTTGACATTCATTCATGTAAAGCCTGTAGCTTTATTAATGGCTGTTTGAAATGCACTGCGCCAAGACCTTTAGCGAACCCTGATACCTGTCTCCAATGTGTTGAAGGGATGTTCCTTCTCCAAGACAACACATGTCAACCCACGTGTCCAGACAATCAATTTGCAAATGGTACCTCCTGTGTGAACTGCACTGGAAATTGTAATACCTGTGCGACTATAGACACATGTGTGGACTGTCCTGTTGGCTCTTTATTACTCGAAGACACAAAGACTTGTATCAAACCAGCTTCATGTACGGACGGTCATTATAAGACAGAAACTGAGTGCAACAAGTGCCCAACTGGATGTGTTAAATGTACAGAAGCGGGAACTTGTGATCAATGTGAAGCTTCAAAGTACTTTAACCCAACAACCAAAATATGTGAACAATGTAAAACAAATTGTAAAACATGTACTGCACTGGATAATTGCACGGCTTGCTCCTCTGGACTGTTAGAAGACGGTACCACCAATTGTGTGACTGAATGTAAATCAGTTGGGTATTACCAAGCAAATGGAAGATGGAACATCTGTGGTACTGGGTGCTCCACTTGTGCTGCAAGTGGGTGTACAGCTTGTGAAAATAATTTGATTCTTGTGAAAGGAGCGCCTTTTTGTGTTAAAGAGTGTAATGTAGATGGTGTCTGGTTAAATGGAGCGAACTGTCAAAAGTGTAAAGCGAATTGTGGGAAGTGCATCAACGGAATTTCTTGTGATATGTGTAATGACAGTTTTGTGTATGTACCTTCAACTAAAAATTGTGAGAGTTGCCCATCAAATTGCAAAACATGTAACACAAGCAAAATATGTGAAGCTTGCACAACACCCTATTTACTCGAAGACTTGTCTTTGAAGTGCGTCACATCATGTTCGGATGGATATTTCAATTCAAACAATGTTCAACGCCAAAAGTGCTCTGAAAATTGTCTCCACTGTGACACAAATGGACTTTGTTTGGAGTGTAAATGGGGATCATTTTTGGAAGATGGGAAGTGTGTTTCTACATGCAAGGAAGGGTCTTTTTCACGATTGAAAAAATGTCAGAAATGTCAAACATCATACTCTTTGCCTTGTAACAAATTTAGCGAAGAGTGTATTAATTGTGAAAAGATTATTAATAAAAAAGCAACTAAAGCGCCTTTGGCTAAAGCAGTTCAAGAGAAAAATGGAGTATTAACAATATTCTCGATGCTTATTGTTTTACTTCTAATTTTAATCTGATTTTTATATTTTTTGATTGTCACATAAATTCTATATAAATATTTTATGTAATTTGTTTTATAGAATTTTTCAAATGTATTTTTTTGTTATTTCTTGATATATCATAACTTTAAACTTTAATAAAATTATTATTAATTAAAGTTTATTAATAATAACTATAACACATATTTTTAATATTTAATAGTTGTAGTTTTGAATGGAATTAAAATAATTTTTTTATTTATAAAAAACAAAAATATTTAAAAATAAACCAACCTTTTCCAAAAACAACATTTGATATTTAAATTGAATAAAAACAAAGAAAAAACAAGTGGGGTTGTAATTATATTTGATTAATTAATATTATTAATATTTTAATATTAAAAAATAGTTAATAAATATGCTTATAATAATAATTTGTTATTATTATATTTATAATTTAAAAAGTTATTCCTTAATTTTTTTTTACTATTTTAATAATTAAATAAAACTATTAAATACTATAAACTCACAAAATTTTAAATATATTTGAAAAAAATAAAAAATGTATTTTTAGATTCGATTTATGAATCTCTAATTTTCTTGAAATTACAATTAATAAGTTCAATTAATTATAATTTATTGTTAAAATACTATTTAATATTAATTTGGAGATAATAAAACTCGACAGATTTAATTATTTTCTTATTTGAAAAATGACACTCAATAACTGTTCAATTATGTTTTATTCCATCTCAAATAACAACTATATTTTATAATAGAGTTTATTGTTAATTATAATTTCAAAACTTCAATTTCAATCATTAATAATTCTATAAATATTAGTTTATTGATTTAGTTTACCTTTTCTAAAATCAAATGGTTTTAGTGTCAATTTTTTATTTGAAAATCGACCCCTTTGAATGTAAACATAAATAAAACGTCTATTAATTCAGAAATAAAGTAATAAATAATAAATTGTTTGTGATAATTACAATAGTAACTATTTCCCAAGATTAATAGCAAAAGTTTAATTTAGCCGAGCTATAGATACACAACGTGTTTTTCAATCTGTTCAATTTTATGAATATAAATAGATGAATATAAACAAAGGGAATTATTTCACCAAAAATCATCAAAATAAAAACTTTTTTACAACTCTAATAAATCAAAATGTTCATTTTTTTATTATTAAGTCTGTCACTGGCAGAGTTTGATTACTCCAAAGATGACTTCTCTCTTTTCAGAGACTTTGAAAAGGCATATTCCAAGAAGTACATAACACCAGCAGAACGTCTTCACCGCTTTTCGGTGTTCAAGAACACACTTCGAGAAATTCGTTTCTACAACAACAAACGAAAGAACCCCTCCGACGCACATTTTGTAATCAACAAATTTGCGGATTTAACAACAGCTGAGATGGGTATTCTTCCTCTCAAGAACATTGAAGTCCCACACACTGCAAAGTCTTCTCTTAAAGGATATGAAGATTTTAACACATTACCGCCATTACCTGAGGGTGACGTTCTTCCCGAGAATTTGTCATATTGTGGCGATTATGTGAGTAAAAACACAGACCATCCCCAAGTCGATTTATGTGGCACTACAGTCGACCAGAAGTCCTGTGGCTGTTGTTATGCAGCTGCTGTCGCCAATCACGCGCAACTGATCTATGCCAATTACACTTATTTTAAAAATTCAAGTAAAATCAGTAAACTCCTTTTCACTCCGCAGAGGTTTATAGACACAATATACACCGACTATAAATTCACTCCTCCAGCATCTAACAAGAGATGCTGCGGTGGAAATTCTGGTCTTGCACTTGACGGACAGCCAACGTATTCTCTTCAGGCAGATTATCAATACGACGATGGGCTTGTGAGTTACGGCAATAACCCGCCCTGCACGGTCAGAGGAGACCAAAACTCGAAGGTCAAAATTTATTTGAGGAAAAACAGTTACAAGACGTGGACGACTGTTGAAAAAACAAGTCATGATGCTAAAGTGCTTGCTATTAAGAAAATGGTCCACCACTATGGGTCTGTACTTGTTGCTGTTACTGCGAGTAACACCGGATTTACTAGCTATGCGGGCGGCATCTTCACCTTCCCACAGGCAACTTCTGACTCAAAACCAATTTGTATTGAAGGAACAGTAAAATCCGACCATCAAGTCGCTTTAGTAGGGTGGGGGGTAGAAAACGGAAAGGAATATTTTATTGGAAGAAACACATGGGGCTCCTGGTGGGGCGAAAAAGGGTATGTCAAGATATCAACTGACGTCTTCTGTGGTATTGGAGAGTTTGTGGGGGAGTACACCTATCCACAGAACTACGTCATTAACTCCGGGAGTTGTGTAGTCGATCCCAATTGCGAGTCGTGTAATACAGAGACTTTAGAATGTAATAAATGTGTGACTGGGAGTACTAAAGATGACCGTGGAATGTGTATGAAGCCCGATCAATATAAGACATATCCAGTGACTCCTATGAGTTGTATTGCTGATTGTAACACATGTGGCTCGTCTACACTTTGCAATTTGTGTAATGAAGGAATGGCGCTGTCAAAAGATAAGAAGAAGTGCTTGGCAAGCTGCCCTGATGGGAGTTATGCAGATCCAACCAATGCTAATATGTGTAAAGACTGCTCAAACACTAAATGCAAAACATGCGCATCAAACCCAACAAGTGGATGCGACTCATGTCCGACTGGTAAAGTTTTACAAAGTGATAAGAAAGACTGTATTGATAAATGTCCTGCTGGGCAATACGCTGATACTACTAACAACAATTTGTGCACAGCGTGTAAAGTTAACGGATGCGTCACTTGCACGTCGGGACCGAATAAATGCGACGTCTGTGAGACGGGGAAAGTCGTGTCGTATGATAGAATCACATGCGTGGACAGTTGCCCCAAAAATTACTTTGTGAAAAATGGAGCGTGCGAATTGTGTCAAGAAAGTTACCCACAACCATGTACCGATGACGAGTGTAAAGCTTGTACTACTGTAACACCAACTCCTGTTGATCCTTCAAATCCATCCAAAGAGGGAACTTTGGAAATAATCGTTTTAAGTGTTCTTGCTCTTATTATGGCGGTACTTTAATTAGAAATTTAATTGTCAAAGTTGTTTTAAAGCAATAAAAAGACTTGCTTATTTGTTAAGTCAATAAGATAACTCTATTTTAAATATTTAAAGTAAAAATATAATAATGATTATAATAATATAGATTAAAGAAAACATAAAAAAAATTGATTGAAAAAATGGTAGATTTGAAAAAAAAACTTTTGGTTTATAAACATGCTCAAACTTCGGTTCTTAATATAAATACATTAAATATAAATATCATAAAAAAGTTGTTTTTTATTTTATTTTTACAACATTACACATTAAAATAATGATAAACATCAAATCAAAATTGTTTAGTCTTTTTTAGTATTTTTCTTGGTATTATTCATTTCAAATTGTCTCGTTTTTCGATCATAAAACGAAAGACTTTTCTTTTGAGTATTTTTGTTTTCATCCTTTGGTTTTAGGCATTTAATTTCTGGTTTTGTGTTTTTTTCCTCTGGTTTTGCGTGTTTCTTTTCCGATTGCTTTTTTTCATTCTTCTGTTTCTTACGATTTTCGTATTCCTTGCTTACCAAAATGTAATATATATTATTCAAAACATTTGTTGGAGCATTTTTCACATGTTCACAAATTTCTTTTATTTTTCTTTCTCTTTTCTCTAAAGTACTTTCAGTTACTTTCTGTTGAGCCGTTGGTACCGATTGAGTAGTGATAGGAGGGGGTGTCGTCTTAATATCATTTTCATCCTTTTTAGGCGATGTTTCTTCAGGCAATATGTTATCTTCTTTTCGACTTGAAATCTCCAGTGGCGCGTCGTCGCTTGTATCTTCTTTTATAACACTTTTACTATTAACTATAGTTGATTTTTCATCTTCTTTTTTATCACTTTGTCGAGCATTGGTGTTTTGTTGAATTTCAAAATGATGAATTATATTAGTTGGACGAGATACAACTTCAACATCAATACTACTCGACTCCTCACTTTCCTCTTTCTCTATGGATGGCGCATCAAATGACAAATCTTCACTACTACTACTAGTACTACTACTACTACTCCTTTCATCATCACTACTGTTAGTTTCCTCTTCCATTTTCACAGCAGTTTTAGTCGTATTTTTAATATCTTTTAATTGATCTTTATTTTGTGTTTTTTCTTCTTCGTTTTCATCGTTAGATAACTCACTCAAAAAGTTTTTAATTTCTTCTTCTTCTTCTTTCTCCTCTTCTTTTTCACTTTTATCGTTAGATGACTCACTCGAAGAGTTCTCACTTTCTTCCTCTTCTTCTTCGTCGTCTTCTTCCATTTTTGAGTGTATTATAGTCTCCTTTTTGGTGTGTATTTTTTCATCTTTTTCGATTTCCATTGGAGTCACTTGCTTTTTCTTTATTTCAACATCTTGTTTATCTACCTTTTTACTCGTTTTTTCTTTCTCTGCCTTTTTCTCACTTTGGGTTTCTAACACTTTTGCCTTTTGAGTCGTCTTTTTATTGTCTACTTTTGTGCTTTTTTGTTCTTCTTTTTCTTCAACAATTTTCTTTTCACTCTCCTTCTCGGGACAGTCTTGTGATTTGTGACCAAATTTCCCACATACAAAACACTTTCTAATATTTGTTCCATTGTCATCAAAATAAAGAATTTGGAGTTTACGAGAGTTCACAACTTTTTTATTAAAATCCTCCAACATTTGGTTCAAAGTTTTGAAATCTTTGACAACTACAGTGATGTAGTCGCCTTTTAACTCACCCTTTTTCTTTATTATTTGTGTCACTTTTCTGATGTTAAAATCACTCAAAAATTCTTTCACTTCATCTTCATTTTTCTCAAGGGGACGATACACAAAAATTAGGGTTTTGTCGGATTCGTCCATTTTGTCAAGTTGAATTTTTACTGGTGTGTCTTCCCATTCACTGTTTTGAAGGTCTTCAATCATTCTGTCAGAATCAGTGGAGTTATTTGTTTTGATAATGCACGAACTGATTGGAGTGTCTGTTTTGTATCGTGGAATGTCATATGAAATGGGGTTGTATTTGGAAAACAACGACTTGATTTTGGCAGTCGTAGTAGTGCTTTCCAAGTTATAAATCCGAACAGTAAGACCGTTACTATTGTCCCTTGTACTCATTTTTTGAAATTGATTATTTTTCGATATTTTTATAAATATAGGGTATGTAGTTGTGTTATTTGAATAGTTATTTGAATTATACAAATATTATAATAGAGTCTAATTATATTCTATTTTTATTTATTATTTTTTTTTATTTAAACATATTTTAAAAATATAACAAATAAAACTAAATTGATATCATTAAACTATTATTTCCTATACTTTATAGCACCAATTGAAAACTATTAATTATTAATAAATTTTTATAAATTAAAACTAATAAAAATATAATTTAAGTTTTAATAATTATTGATTTTACTTGTTACTGTCTTAATTTATTATTGTTGAAAATATAATATAAAGTCAGTTTTTTAATGTTATCTGGTGGACAAAAAATACCTTCGTTTTTGTCTAAACATCGGGCATTAGGTAAAGCGTGAAAAAACCCAAAACAATTGGGATGGTTTTTTGGGACTGCTCCCCGAAATATTTTTTATAGTCCAAAAGGTACCAGATAACGTTAAAAGACAGACTTTAATTTTAAAAATGACGAATTTTAAACGTCAAAATATTAAACAATCATTATTTTTTTCAATTTATTAATCATTACAATTATATTGATAGAAATCAATATAACTAATTATAAACTCTTTCATTGATCACTTTTCAAAATCTTGATAAATATGATTGTTTTGAATAATTAAACTAAATACAGATAGTAGAAAATTTGGGTGTCAAGAATAAATTGGGTGTCAGATTGATTTTGAGTTATTTAATAGTTTTTCATATCTTTTTGTGTGGGGGGGGGGAAAATAAAAAAATACTAAACCCATTTTTTTAGATTAACTAATCCCTAATTTATTTGACACCCTATTTATTCCTGACACCCTATTTTTCTACTATCTGTAACATTTTAAAAAAAGTTGTTAAAATTTTTGTCGCGCAATGATTTGCATATAAACATGCAATTTTTATCATATTGAAATGTATTGCACTTTTTACAACATGTATATAAAAACAATAATATTTGATATTTTATTGAACTAAAAATATTAAATCCAATTGCAAATAAATTTTAGAAAATGCAACTCGATTTTTATTGACATTTTTAAGCGTATTAAAATGGATATACAGTTGGACAAAATTAACTCCTACATAAAAAGATTACTTGCTGTTATTATTAAATCTGATATTTATTTACATAAAATTAAAATTTGATATTTTGTTTGTTGAATCGTAACTAAATTTATAAAAATTATAATTCAAAATAATTATAATTAGTTAATGTTTTAAATTCAGTAAAAACAATTTTTTATTGTTATTTAATTATACACGTTATGGAACTGCATATCATCAACAACATGTATGTATGTCGTCGTTTATATTAAGCAGCTTATTTCCTTTCAAGAAAGTTAACGATATACCATCCATACCTAAAGTGTATTTTTAACGATGGAGTGGGTTATTTGTTACTCGTTTTAATAAAGTCACACCAAAAGTTGAGATTTTTGCAGTTTTATTGTATTTTCTTTGTTTAATACTCCAAGCTTCATTTATTGCACTGTACCAATTCCTTAAGTGAATGTATTGTTAATCATCAATAAATTCACATTTCTAAAGTCGATCATTTTTTATTTTCACCTCATTTTTATAATAATAGAAAATGTGAGAATGTTGTCTGGTTCAATGTCTTTGTGTATTTTGTTCGTTAACTGAGTATTGTTCATTTTCGTTTTTTTACTCTTAGATATATATAAGAAGGTGTATTAATTAATTTGTATGTATAAAATATGTTTATTTGAAATAAAAAAAATATTAAAATTATTAAACCATTGTTCTAATAATTATTTTAAAAAAATTTGCATATTGCTGTTTCGGCTAACTGTTTACTCTAAAATTAAAAAATGAAACAAATTTTAATTAAATTATAATATAAAAAAATCATCAATACAAACTTTCATTCATAAAGATTTAAATAAATAACACCCAAGATCTTATAAATCCAATTTAAATAAAAGCAAGTTTTACAATAACATCTAAAATATAATTCTTTTTGCATATTAACTACTGGTTAGACAAAATAACAATTTTAATTGTCTAAAATAACAATTTAATGGCTAATATTCAAAAAATAATACAACAATGATCAAAACAAACATTTTTTTTAATATTACATATTTTATATACTTATTAAATTTTCATTATAAATTATCAAACATCAAGTATTAAATATAATTAATAATGACTACAATATTATTTTAAATTTATGGGCTTTTACTAATCAAAATTATTTTATTAATATAATCAAAAGATTAGAAATTAAACCAATTACAATTATATTTAATAAACATTCACCAATATTAAATTAAATTATATTAATAATTATTTAAATTATATTAATAATATAATTATATTATTAATTATTTTAATATAATTAATAGCAACTAACATTAACAAATGTTTTTTATAAAAATTAAGTTGTCTTTATAACAAATACAAACATGTTTATACTGTTAATAATACTTTTTACTCAATTATTTGAACAACAAATTTAACTTCTGTTTTCAATATTAAACAACCATTATATATACATTTATATCAAATTTTATGTTTAACATTATAAAAAAAATATTTAATTAACTTGGATTATTATTTTATTATATTATTTAACATAATCGTTATTATAAATTCAATTAGAAATAATTTAATATATAAAGACGGATTTTTAATTAACGATGATGAAAATTTAGTTTTTTAATTATAATAAATAGCTTTTTTTTTCTTTTTTTTTTCTAAATAATTATTTTTTTGTTTTATTTTTAATTTTTTTTACTTTTTAACCACATTATAAACTGTTTTCCAAAACTCTGTACCGTTTCCAAAATTTATATAAACCCTTTGTCCTAGTTTCCCGTTATTTACTATTTTTTATTTGTTTTATTTTTTATTTTCCTATTTGTTAAACCAACAACGGTACACAGTTTAAAACCCTTAAAAATCAATACAATTTCAATTATCGAATAAAAAATCGGGAAATCACCCAAATTTAGGCAAATCTTTCCCGATTTTCCAGGTTTGTTATTTGGTCAGTGGTTTATTTTGTAACTAAACGTAAGTAAAACAACCCATTTCTAACAAACACAAGATAAACAATAATATAACAATAAACAAATGATGTACTGAAGGACATTATTGCATCAAATGATACAACACTTAAATTAATAATAAGTTTTTGTTTATTTCAACAATTAAAAAAGTAATCGATAACATAAAACAAACATGTAAACAATCAAGGTTATTAATCATAAGAGTCTTAAATAAAATAAACAGTTCAAAAATTAAAAAAACTTTTCAATTGTAGCCTTAACCAATTTATCTTCTCTCAATGCTTGTTTTACTCATTAGTATTTTTTATTTTTATCCAGAACACGACTTGGTGATTCTGTAAACATAGACATTTAATTATAAAGTTGTGTTTTATCTTTTTGGCAAAAATTGTGTTATGGTAATCAAAATTTTTATCCCAAGTTTGTTTTTTATATTTTTCAAGTAAATTTTTGGTGAAAGATTTATTTGTCAAGTAAAATTTAAAAAAGTCAGGTTCGTTATTTTGTTTTTTTCGAGTAAATATTTGTAACAAAAAATGAGGGTTAAGCAAAAGAAAAATTATTTAGAATTTATTTGTCTAAAAAATCGGGGCATCCCAGTACAGAGTTTTGAAAAACAGTTTACGTCCAAAAAAAAGCAAGAAATGTGGAGTTCGTAATTCCTTCTCTGGGGAATTTCCGAGTAATATCAACACAACCGGCAGACCATTTACACCAGTTAATCACAAAAGTGTCATTATTGTGGTGTGGTCAATAGGTGAAACCGATTGATTTGAAAAGCAAAAAAAAATTGACAACCAGCGTTTCTTTGAGAATGTCAAATGGTAAAAATTGATAAGAAATTTACTATTGATTTATGGTTTTTAATTGGTAATGGTCGATACTATATATTATAATATAAAAAAACAGATATAGTAAATTTCCTTGTTGTAT